ATGAAGGCTTATGTTCAGTTGGAGTTGTGAAGGACTGTGATGGTGGTGATGATGATGATGATTTTTTTGTTTCATACCTAACCAGCAAATAGTAACAGTAGTGTTCATAATAAGCTATATCTGTAACAATCTTAGCTCATCTCGATGAGGAGGTACAGGCAACATCTAGGGAGATATTTTGAGATCTGGAGGACAACTTTTCTTACAATGCTAAAGTAATTCTTTTGAATCTTAAAAAAAATATTACCAATATTCACCAATTATTCACCATAAATTATATTACCAATATTTTCGGTTTAAAGATCTATATTTCTCAATAAGACAATCATCACTTACATGAGAACAATAACTATATAAACTTAGTAATAACAATTGCTAAATACGGGTATAAATAAAACTTTGTTGGATGTCGCTTTTAAGAAGCGAATCTTTGTTGCTTATTCAATTTTAGACGTGGTAGAGCCATGCTGGGTGAATACTGCATGCTGCATGAATGGGTTGGCTCAACCTGGGAAGGACCATGCACTCACAGAATACTAGCATAAAATAGCAGCTGAACACCGCTGTGTTTCGTATGGATACCCTTTTTACTGATAAGGAGGCATTCAATCTTAGTTCTCACGGGTGACTGAGGATAGTTGTCTATGGGCCACGGCAACCACTTACCATCAGGTGGTCTGTGTGCTCATTTGTCACCCTTAGGGCTAATCCTCATTTGCGGTTCACAGTTCGTTCTCGGTCTGATTTATTATATTATTGGAATGGGATTCTTGCAAAACTTCACAGTTACGGATAGTATGAATGCATGCACATATAAATATTATTAAGTAAAAAATATGTATGTGCATTCGTACTATCCATAACAAGTTTCACTCGAATACCATTCCAATAATATAATAAATCAGACCAAGACCGAACTGTGAATGGAAAATGAGGATCGGCCTAGTTCTACAAAAAAATTAAAAACAAAAACATGAGATGTCATAAATCATAATTAAATGGAAATTAACATCTACAATGAAATTAAGCAATAAACACCTGATATTATCAGGGGCTCTCAGTAACAGTACATGTTTTCCTTGTACTACACATACTTGTAACAGAAATTGTATGTGAAGTGCATGCTAATATAGTATTCGTATTTCGTATTATAAAAAAATGTAATGCACATACTAAAAAATATTCTGCTTAATTTATATTTGTAATAATTCACATTTCAAACCTAACATTTTTTTACTTACTTGGATGACTTTATGAGCAGTATCAAACTGCTATTAGCATCAAAACCTGTTCTTTAATTTTTCCATTATAAACATAGTATCCAGTTTTAGCCATATACACCTACTCATACTTAAATATTCAGACTTTCAAGTAATTTACCCACAATAGTTATAGGGACATTTTTTAAATTAAACTCATTTAAGTAGTGCAGTATGACATTTTGTCTGGAACACCAGAATTACCCAGACAGTCAAAGAGGATCAGGATCAAAGATGAGAGAGGTGATCTCCTATCTGTCACAAATTACAGTAGACTACTGCTATAGGAGTCCTGTGACTGTGCTATAGGAGTCTACTAAGGGGAGTTTATTACCAAAAGTTTTAATTAAATAATTATTACACACACACACACACATATATATATATACAGGGTTATTTTGTAATAACTGGCCAATTTTGCAGAGAATGTTCCGAATAAGTAATATAGAAAAATGGTGACGTAAAATTAATTTTAAAAAATTGAGATTTTTTCCTTTTTATCTTTTAAATCCAAAATTCATGGTAATGATTATTTTAACTGATTTTACTGCGCACGCACAAATTCGTAAGGGTCGATCGGTAGGCAAAAACGTTATTGCCTATAAATCACATTCAATTTGGGATAATTTCAAATAAAAGTAGAAGCGTTATTTAGTTGTATTTTTTCGCCTACCAACCTATGTTCAGCAGTGGACTTGAGAAGGGCTGTAATGATGATGATGATGGCCCACTCTGGCCTCATCTGGGTAGTATTCTGAATGGTGATGTTATTTAGATTCAAGGTCAAGTCAAGTCAAGGACCATTTATTTTAAAGTTGTTTTTAAACCCCAAGATTTTCTGATAAAATATAGCCTAGACCACTCCTGGCATTGGTCTTTATCTGTTTGTGCAGTTTCATTACAATCAGTTCCGCCATTCAGAAGAGTAGCCAATAAACAAAAATTTTAAAAATATTTATTTATGTCTATGGACTGCAAATAACCCCATAAGCTCAATTTAAGGTGGTTATTGCAGTATAACAGACAGACATTTCAATTTTATTTATAACTAGCGGGCCCGGTAGATGTTGTTCTGCCCTTTCTGGTTGGTGGTCTTTATGGTCTGTTTCGGTGGGTTTAATTTCTCTACAGAATTATTGTATGTATATAGACCTAGCAATCTGCCCCAGCTTAGCACGGGTGAGTTCTAGATCTCGAAAACAGCACCACCTATCGGGTATACATGTGAATCTAACCCATCTATGGACTCATTCAAAGACACAAACAAATTCATCAAAATCAGTCAAGCTGTTTTTGAGTATTAGCAAGAATAAGACAGCAAATGATTTTTATTTATAGGAGACGTACTAATGGTACAGTTGGCAGAGAGGATTTTTTGGCAGAGAGGAGGATGCTTTGGGTGAAATTGGTAACGCTGGCTGTTGCTACTGTATTATTTTGTAAATGGTAGATTCGAGTGGCGCTATGAATCCACCATGGGGGAGGTGTCCTTCGTGAATATGTGGACAAACAAGTTGCAATTAGTTCACGCCACCACAAATCTAACTTGACGCATATTGTCTCAGTTCAAATGTGACAGTAGTAGTAGCCTAGCGGGTATTTATTATCTACTGTTTAGGTATTCATAATCTGTCGGATTACAAGGTACTCTTCTTCAAAAAGTTCCCAACAATCAGGGGACTGTGGCAGTACTCTATAATCTGAAAAATTCGATAATCTCACACCGCCTTGCAAAATGTTTGTCAGATTTGGCGGGTCAACTGTAATGGATTAAAGTGATTCATATAATCAAAATTAACCTAAGAAAGATGTGTACTTGTGTATAAACATAACATGATAATGCGAGTACAGATAACATATGTAAATCTCTCAAGATATTTTTTTCATTTTGAGATTTTTGGGCTTGTTCTTTGTCAGCATCACCAGAGATCAAGATAGATTGCTATAATTGCATGTCACCATAAAACATAGTTGAAAACATTAATTCAACTTGCTTGTTATTTATTATAATATGGCCAATGTTCTTAAATAAATTGTTCTGGGATCACATTATTAATTGCTTACACATTTATCCATATCTGCAATCTCCAGAAAGGCCCTTATGCAACAGTACTTCATATTGTTCCGCCCACATGACGGGCTTTTAAAATACTGTACGCCCACAACCCAATCAGTCTGAATGCTTATTAAAATATTCCTAATGAATATGCTCAATATATAATTTTGTGGGAGTCATCAAAACCAGTGGACTTATCCTGATTTAGCATGGCTCAGGACAGTAAACAAGTAGAAGGAAAAAGGAGAGAAAGTTACAAGTAGTACTTTTAGAGTTCCATTTGTTAAGCTTTCAGGATAGTATATTAAAAAGTGATTATTTAGTATTATATCTTTTGCAGCAATAAATGTGGGTCTTTACTGTCAAAAATTCTCTTTAAGAGTGACTAGGAACTTCAGGAAAACTATCCAGTGTACATTTTAAAATCACATGTGGAATGGGATTAAGATCTAGTTTGATAAAATAGGTACCAAACTTGATTCATTTGGAAACTTCAAATCCAGAAAATTTTTATGAGTGTTTCATGTACACTTGTATAACATACACAATAATCTTGACATTGAGAAGTTTTATCAGTTTTAGCTATCACAAGGGAATGCCCCAAGTTCTTTATTATTGATAAGCTGATAACTCACGTGGTGGGTTGGATATAGACATCCAGTACTTGATTTTAATAATGTTTATAGTCTAGGAGGCTTATTACGGTTAAGCTTGAACCTATTACACTGCTTTTAGATGTCGGAAATGCCTTTTGAATTAATTATGATAAATATAAATTTCACACAAAATTGCATATAACAAACAGCAAATATGTCAATTTAGTTTTTTTAACACAGAAGACGGGACTCATATGCAACAAATTGAGTCACAGTTGAGAGCAGTCAAGAGGTTTTTCAGAAAACAAAATTATAACAATTCACATTACATGGTTTCATTTACCACTATCATAGCAGAGTTTAGGGCAACCTGACTTTATAGGTAAGATTGGTTGAATCTGTTCTAAAATCAGAACAGCACGCTTCAACTCTACATAGTCTTGTCTACTCTTAGTGTTTTTGTAAAGCCGTAGGCACGGAAAGAGAGCAGCCTCCGCCTGCTGTAGCAATGTGCAGGCACCCGTGCAAGCCATAGTGTCTGAGGCAGGTCGCCGAAGGTGAACAATAAGCCAATGCTGTGGAGGTGAGCATGGTTGCCTGCATATTGCTACTCAAGGGCGAACGGGCTGCACTTTCCGCAGTGCCGAAGCTGTTGCAGAAGTAACTTTAGGTCAATATTCCTGTGTCAGAAGTGATGTTATGATTTTACAAAAAAATTCATTACCGATAAAATATATATTTCCGCAAGGAGGACAGGGTAAAGGCTTCCCCTGATTCCTAAAAAAATTTAAGTATAATCTTTTAAATTAGATACAGTTCATTTAGTCTTCTATTATTTATATAAGTAAACAAATTTCCACTAGTAGTAGGTACATAAAAGAACAAAGTCAAAAGTTTTTGTAGTTAGATCATATATAAAAAAAGTCTTCCTATTGAAATTGAAAATGGTAACAGTAGCTCTAAAATGGCCAAGTGATAAAATGTATTATATTATAAAGTAATTAAAAGGTTATGGTAAGCTATATGTTAATATTAAATTGAAATAAAATCGAATTCAAATCAAAATTGCTTAGAATTCTATATACTCACCATTAGAGCTCTTAAGGTCTCGGTGGATGAGCGATATTGGCGCATCCACATGAAGGTATGCCATTCCACGAGCTACTTGAATCGCCCAATCCACCAGGATGCCAGGTCTGATCTTTCTTCCTGACAAAACTCTGTTCAGTGGCCCACCGCGGGCATATTCCATCACCAAACACAAATTAGGCTCTTCTAAACAAACACCTTTCAACGACACTATATTCTCATGCTGCAACATCCAAAACAGTTTAGCTTCTTGCAGTACACTCTCCTTAATCACTTCGATGTCTTCATTCGCGTCCTGGCGCGCAGCTTTAACCGCCACCACCTCGTCGTTCCAATAACCGCGGTACACTTTTCCGAAACCGCCTACCCCGATCACCTCCTCGAGTTTCAATTCGCTGAAAGATACTCGAGGAGGGTCCACATCGCCGATGACCGACGTAACGGCTAGGGGGTCTTCCTCCGTAACGTACACTGCGGGGAATATGCCGACTCGGTCGCCGATTTTGCCCGTCCACCAGCCCTCGTCGCCCGAGATGTTGGCGTCTTTGGACAGCACCTCGACGATCTCCCCGCGGCGCAAGGACAGCTCATCCTCTCCCTGCGCTATGTAGTCGTAGACAGCGGTAAACAGAGCTAGAGGCGGGCGTTGTTCCTCTGCCGCCATAGCCGCGCGACCGGCCGCTGGCCGCGGCGGCATCACCCCGGCCGCGCCGCCATCGCGCTCCTCCTCTCTCAGGCGCCGCGACACCGCTGCAGCCTCCACCCACCACCGCACATAACTACTGAACGCGTTTGGTTATTATCACCGTATTATTCCGCCATCTTTGTTTTCCACATCGATCATGGCGGTGTTATGGAGAAGTGCAAAACGGCAGCTATTCACACGGTCGTCAACGCGCGGTTTAATGTCGTTTTCGATGCAAATAAAGACGCTTTGGCTTCGCTGTAGTGATGTTAATTATTCTTCATTCATCTATCACGTTAGCCGATAGACGGACGAAATGACAACCATACTACAGCGAAGTCAGTGACAAACTGTCATACGGCTTTAGTGTTGCTTACATCATAATTTTCTATTTTTGTCTGATAGAGTTCAAATAATATCTGTTTATTTTATTATTTATAGCATTTGCATTGAATTAAAATAAACTTGAATCATTCGACAAACAATCATAAAATAATAAAATACTTTTTTATTTTATATATTTTGACAACTGGCAATTATGATTCATTATGATTCCAAAGTTATACTCTAGATGCGCAGACAGAGTTTTCTTTGTCTACGTCTAGATGGTACCCAAATACACCAGAAATAGACTTCGTACCTTTTTACCTTTTGGCCTTGTAAATATTACGGCCGCCATCTAGCGACCTTTTACAAATAATAGAATTGCATTTTTTATTGGTCCGAATCTTAATGCTAAACATAAGCATTATTATAATTTATTAACATATTATTTCTAACAGAAACATCTTTGGTACAAATAGACATCACAGATGTTTCAAACTAGATGGCGCGCTTGACATTTTGTTGAAAAGTTAATTAAAGTCATACCAACAAAACGTATGTAGTGATTATAAATATTATTCTATTTGGGAGTACATAATATCACAGAGTACCTTTTTATATACCATAATATGTAATCTCTTTATACGAGAATCAATTGCTATCCATAAGACTCGCAAAAACACGAAAATGTCTCGACCGATTTCGAGGAACTTTTCTGCTTATCGGAATCCCTGGATGGTTTAAAAACTCAATTATACCCGGTAGGTGGAGCTGATGTCAGGATTCTAAAATCGCCAGTGTAAAGCTAATCGTTAATCACGTAAAATATATTTCACAGAGTACATTACTATAGGAAGTATTTTATTTGTAACTAATCCCTCGGTAGGCAGTAATATCGTCCTGGCAATTTAGTTAACGAAACATAGCAACTATTCATTCGTTTCATTACAGCTCATCAAGTCTACGGCTGAATATAGGCTTCCTACCTACCATAGATAAATAAATATGTAGGAAGCTACCTACCTAATATATTATCGGCATGTTGGCAGCATCGAGATTTTAGTTTAATGGTTGGCAATGCATACAAATCACAGTAATCTGTGATACAAATACACAAATATAAAGTAATTCATTTGCGTCTCAGCTACTTAATATACTTGTAAGTTGCATTGCCAACGATTGTCAATATCACTACTTCAGTCAGTACAACGCTTGTTGGTTGGGGTGCAAACCATTTCAGTCTTCATACGACAACAGTTTTCCAACCTTGACATATCACAATACATTTAAAACCGCTGCTAGAGTCAAGGAATGTGGACAGGCTGGTAGCACATGAATAACGGCTGGTGTACTTAGAACCATCACCCTCGTACTAGCAATAATATCGCATTCATACCAGTTTGTGAACCGTTGTCTCTTTTTTAGTGGGTTTCCTCCATCACTCGATCACCAGAGCCTATTGGTTAAATCAGCAGGGCACACCGTGTGAAGGTGGGTTTGATTCTTAGAGACATAGTTGATCTATCCGGCCTATACTGCTTTAGGTACACTAACGGCACTAGATGTAAATACCTACATAGTATTAATTTATTTATAAATTTTAAATCAACTACTTTGTGAGTATTTCCTTAAAAATATTGTAAACTAACAACCCGCCGCAGCTTGGCCTGAATGTTTTAACCTTGAACGAATTAATTAGTGGTTAATTCGTTCAAGGTTTTAACGTAGCATTTTGTAGACTTAAAATAACTATCAGACCACTTATTTTATCAATTTTTCTATAAAAAATTCTTATAGTTTTTCATTGCATTGCTTTCTATCTGTTTGTCAAGTTTCAATACATTCGGTTTAGAGATTCCGAAGATTAGTTCGGACAGACAGACAGACAGACACTGCTATACTTATAAAAAAAGTAGTTATTCATGTCTTTGTAGCATGCAAATAATCTCGTCAACTCAATAAAAGGTGAAAGGTGATCGATATTACACAGTTATTTTTATTTTTTTGTTTTTAGGTAATATTTGAAATTCAAATATCAATAAATATTTATAATTTTATACATAATAAAATTTTATTCTTTAATTTCATCATTAGCGCTATCGGTCCCATGGTGTAATGGTTAGCACTCTGGACTTTGAATCCAGCGATCCGAGTTCAAATCTCGGTGGGACCTGCTGGGTGCATTTCTTTTTGGCATTTTTTTATTTTTTCTTATACTTATATCCATTTGAATTTTTTTATTCATTAACCAATCCTTAGCTTTTTTTCATTTTGTTAGGTAAAAGAGTATTAATAAAAAGTTAAACCTTGTGGGAATTAGTAGGGATGCTGGGTAGGGAGCATTATTGATCGCGTTAAAGTAGGATGGCTGTATCCATTCGCGGCGAACATCCAGTCCGCGGACGTAGGGCCGCTTCGCAAATTCTAAAACACGCTTATAAGCCTTCGAAGCTTGGCCTCATCACCAAATACTTCGTTAAAAAAAAACACGAATTACGATTAAAATGTATAAACAATCGCGAAAACAAAGTGCAACCTTAAGAAACCAGTGAAGATTGTTATCGGCGTGAAAATGTGCCAGGACATAGTTAAATGAGAATCCCATTGATGCCTTCCTTACGTTTAGTGGCAAGAAAATTAGAAGTTATTAATATGTTCGTTTTAATCAATGCTTAAAGAGTTTCTCAATTATTTTATATTGCCAAAACAAAAGAATGACCAAACTGTCACCGGTATGATTACACTATGTTTAATTATGCCAACATGTTTAAATCAAGCAGGGATATTAAGAGGTCCTGTCTGAAATGGTGCTGGAGAAAGCGTTGGATGTATCTCAAGAAATAGCACATCTTTAATTATCCAAATAAGGAGAGTTTCAAATAAAGAGTGGAATTGAATTTTTGTGTTGAAAAGTGTTTTTTTCTTTTGTAAAAATGAATTCTTTCAACGCCCCCACAACGCAAATAAATGCGATTGATAAAATGACGACTGTGAAATGTAAATCCGTAGATCTTGAGGGATATGTTATCATTGTGGTCCAAACGAAGGATAATAAGATTAAGCTCTACGGTAAGTCTTTCTCTTATACATGTCTACATTAATTAAAAACTGTAAAAATGGAATAAACTCTCACACCTGTCAAATTATTAAAGGTTATTTTATATTTGCACTTCTACATAAATCTACTGCAATATTAATATAAATTTATAAACAAGTTTAACGGCTTGTATGTAAGATTGTGTGTCTGTTTGTATTATTCGTTTTGCCTTATTCGTATTCGTATTGTATTATTGAATCCGATTCTGAAAATTATTTCACCAGAAAGTTACACTATAACCATATAACTGACTACCACAGGCTATGTTATAATGTAATCAAAGTTTGTCTTCAGTACTTTGAAATAAGTAAATTTATTATCGAGTCAGAAAAAAATACTTATTCTATTTTATTCTAAAAAAATTAGTCAATCGACTGCTTTATTGGCGTTCGCTGATCAAACAGCTTGCTATTGATATAAATAAACACTGTATAATATACGTAAGTTAATAATTACTTATTTTTATAAAATACTAATGAAAAAACATTAGAGCGTGTGTTTTTGTTGGTAAATCTTTCGACAGATTTTTTTTGATTTACTAAGCTTTTATCGAATTACACGCAAGCAAAGCCGTGCGGGTGAGCCAGACAGCATATAATTTTGTGACATCGATTACGATATGAAGAAACAGTAGGTCTACTCTATGATAAAATACGGAACCAGTTATTTCTTTACGGGTACCGTTCCGTCAGATGGTGTATGGGCACTGCAGACCAAGGACACCTGCAACACTGCTTTACTAGGTGATGGGATTGTTATTATGCCGAGAAGACTGTCTGGATAGGTGACCATCTTACCTCTATTTCTGCCGCTAAATAGCAGTGTGCAATTTTTTATAGTATAGGATGACAAACGAGCACACATTCCGCCTGATGGTAAGTGGTTGCTGTGGCCCATAGACATCTACATCTGAGGACTAAGATGGAATGCCTCGTTTCCAGTAAAAAGGGTCTCTGGTTCTCTACACTCACCATACGAAACACAGCAGCATTAAGCTACTATTTTACGCTGGTATTCTGTGAGAGCGTGGCCCTACCCCGGTCGAGCGGACCCATTCGTCCTACAACCATAATATATCTGCACCGTGGCTCTACCACTGCTAAAAACTTCACTGCTTTATTTCGGTATAAATGTATAGAGAGCTAGTGTAATTACAGGTTGTAAGGCATTTTTTTATAGGAGAGTGGGCAAACGAGCAAACAGCTTACCTGATGGTAAGTGATTACCACCGCCCATGAACAACTGCAACATCAGGAGAACTGCAGGTGCGTTGCCGGCCAAAAATCCCATCTTAGTCCTCGGGGACGATAACGCATCTTTAGCCTTCTTTATTTGAAGTTGGCTGCAGTGACCACTTACCATCAGGTGGACTTTTAGTTCATTTGTCATTTTAGTTCATTTAAATTAGATGAAATGCCTCACAGCCTGTAATTTTAAAGACAATACGGCCTTACTCATGACATGACTGTTATGAGTAAGGCCGTGTCAATTTAAGACATGCTTAAAGTTGCTCTCTCACTCTTTTCACTAAATCATAATAGTAAGAGACAGAAATACAGATAATTAATCTTTTGCAGCAATTGATTTTTCTATATAAAAATCAATTGCTGGCCGTTAGTCTCGCAAAAACTAGAAAATGGATGGACCGATTTTGATGAACTTTTGTCTCTGTTTGTGTTGGTCCCTGGATGATCTAAGCGATTCACTTTTGGCCCCGGTAGGTGGCGATGTTGTCGACATCCAGAAATACAGCATGCCATAATACAGCACTTGATGTATTACTGATTTGTGGTAGGTATTGGCACAGATTAAATAATGTTACTATGGTAAAAGGCTGTTACCAACATGGACGAACTCCTAGGCAGAAAAAACAGTTTTAATAAAAAGTGAATGCCGACTATAAATAACTAAAGAGAATAACTATGGGCCGATTTTTCCATCATCAGTTAAAATTTATTCATAGTTTAAAATGCAACATAAACAAATTGAAATTTATAGTTGTATGATCAAAATAGTTCATTTGTTTCACTTTTATGTTCAGTCAGTTATAATTTATTCGAAGGATAACTGTCATATCTGGCGACTGAAAAAAATCGACAAAAAGACACACTGTATAGAAGTTCTGAAATTGTTTTTATTATATTTAGTCGAATAAAACTATTATTTACGGATTTTATCGCGTTTAATTACTTTAATTTATTTTTATTATTATCCCGACGTTTCGGGTGCTTTACAGCACCCATGGTCACGGGGGGACTGAGATGTTTGACGTCCCAATGTCATAGTTAGTCCGGCTACCTTCAGTTTTTTTTTTATATTAATTTTGGG